AACTCCAATCAACTATTTCTATCAACCCCCTCTTCTTCACTTTGGACCTGTGCTGTCCTCCTTAACGTGAAGATTTTCTGGAGACTGGAGGAAGGAAAACAATGACACCTTGAAAGAGGTGACCCTATCGAAGCTAAGGGTCCCACTCTGAACTTTCATGATACTCTACACATCACAATTTATTTGTCCATTATTCTCTCAATGGACAGTTTTTTTCTTTTATTTTTAAACATTTTCTTGTGCTACTATGAATAAAATTACTTTAGAAATACTCTTTTCTCACTGTTCCCTCATGACTATGTCCAACTGCAACTGCTAAAGACACTGGAAAGGAAGGACAAGTTTTGACAGGGTACACATGCAGCAAACACAGGAATAAGTTCAGGTCAGTTCAGGAAATAGCAGTTACTGTCCTCGCTTTAGTTCTCCATAGCTGATGACTTTTGTTTGTGTGTGGTACTGAAGATCAAACCCAGGGCCTTGAATGTGCTAGGCAAATGGTCTTCCATTGAGCTACATATCTAATATCTAATATCTCTTGCTTTATTCTTGGACTCTCTGAAACCACTCTTTCCTCTGCATTCTCTTGCTCATAGCTTCTCTGCAGGCAGCCCCTCGACTGGACCTCTAAATTCTGAGTTTCTCTTGCTTCAGGAAGAACATTGCCCTCTCTTCTCTAGGCCTCCAAGATAACATTATCCAGACTCAGGGCATTAAAATTCACATATATGTTGATAATCCCCTGCTGATATATGCTGATAGATTAAACTCTATCTTTGCTGGGTGCAGTGGTGCATACCTGTGGTCCCAGCCACTTGAAAGCAGGAGGATTGTTTGAGCCCAGGAGTTTGAGCCCAGCCTGGGCAACATAGATCTCATCTCTGGGGGAAAAAATAGTTTTAAAAACTCACAAAAACCAAACTCTAGCTTCAACCCAGATCTCTAAGAGATATGGAGTTACCTAAATGATGTGTGTCCCTCAGGATGTCCCGGAGGTATCTAGAACTTAACATGTCAAATAAAACTCAAAGTTTTGTCTCTGAAACCTATCCTTCTATTCTTCCCTTTTGCTGGATATGCCACCATGTACACAGCTTTCTTCTTTCCCCTTACCACCTCCCAAATCTAATTCATCCCTACATCCTGTTGATTCCACCTCCAAAATACATTTTGCATCTGTCCACTTCTCTCCACTGCAACCTTTTAAGCACCACCTCTCATGTAGATGACTATAATACCCTCCTGAGTGATCCCTCTGCATTTTCTCTGTCATGGGCAGTTTATTCTTCTCCTAGCAGATAGCCAATCTTTAAAACATATCTAAATCTAATCATGTTACTTGCCTGCTTAAAAACTGCCTGTGGTTTCTTTCCCATTTCACTTTGAAAAAAATCCATATCCAGGGCTGGGGCCATAGTTAGTGGTAGAGTGCTTGCCTGGCATATGTGAGGCACTGAGTTTGATTCTCAGCAGCACATAAAATAAATATATTGTGTCCATCTACAACTAAAAGATATTTTAAAAATCCATATCCATATCAGGGTTTACAGGTTAGGCAAATCTGGTCCCTGCCATTCCTGCCGACAACTCTATTTGCCCTCTGGCCCAGCCAGCTAAACTGGATTCTCTTTCTCTCTCCTCTCTCTCTCTCTCTTTCATACTGGAGATTAAGCCCAGGGGCACTCTACAACTTGGTCACATCCCCCAATCCTTTTGATTTTTCATTTTGAGATGGGGTCTAAATTGCCCAAGTTGGCCTTGAACTTGCAATCCTTTTCCTTTAGCCTCTCAAGTTGCTAGGATAGCAGGTGTATGCCACCATGCTGAGGTTTCTCTCTGTTTCTTAACCATTCCAAACTCCACAGCACCTGAAGTTTTTCCCCTTTCCCTCTGCCCAGAATGTGCTTGGTTGTATCACATGGCTAAGTCCTTCTTGACCTTCAGGTTTTGGCATTGTCTCAAAGTGTTTTTCTCTTTCTACCTAAGTGACTCTGACTCCCTCTACCTTCTCCCGTCCACATTGTTGTCTATCCTTGTAGTGTGTCTTTTTGTGTGTACTAAAGTTGAACCCAGGGCTTGCAAGTGCTATACCATTAGCCACTTCTCCAGCCCTTTTAAGATTTTAATTTGAGTGGCTGGGAAAGGTGGTGCACTCCTGTAATCCCAGTGTCTCAGCCTTAGGAACTCAGTGAGGCCCTAAGGAACTCAGCTAGACTCTGTCTCTAAATAAAATAAAAAAAATAAAAAAATAAAAAAGGGCTGAGGATGTGGCTCAGTGGTTAAATGTCCCTGAATTCAATCCTAGCCCCCACTAAAAACATAAAAAATAATAAAGAAAATTTTTTTAAAAAAAATTTTGAGGCAAAGTCTGGCTAAGTTGCTCCAGGCTGGCCTTGAACTTGCAATCCTCTGCCTCAGCCTCTGGAGTTGCTAGGATTACAGGTGTTTTCCACCTTGCCCAGCCTAGACCATATCTTTTAATGGCTGGGATCAGATTGTCTGTTGTACTCCAGTGTACAACCAGCACCTAAACCTAAGTATGGCACAGAGTAAATACTAAATATTTACTGAGTAAATGGATTAATTAGCCTTGTACTGGGTAAAAGGGATACAGAGGTGACCCATTTAGAGGGGAGGATGTATTTACATGACCAGGACACCAGAATCTTCCTAGAAGAAATGTAGTTTCTTCTAATAACTAACATTTATTAGTTCACCAATTCAAGATCCATTTGTGTGTGTGTATGTATGTGTGGGTGTGTGTGTAAACGTACATATATATATTTTTAAGATGGGGTCTTGTTATATAAGTTGCTCAGGCTGGTCTTGAATTTTTGGGCTTCCCAAGTAGCTGAATTTGCAGGTGTGCACCACCACACTGTTTTGTTTTTTTGTTGTTGTTGTGGTAGTTGGGAGATGGATTTAGATCCATCATGAGGACCTTAGGGTCCTCATGCATGCTAGGTAAGTGCTTTAGCACAGGCTATACCCCCAACCACCATTTTGTTTTTAATGTGCCCAAAGTCATACAGTTTCTATAAGTGGTAAAGCTGAGATCCAAAATCAGGCAATCTTCCTTCAGAGCCGGAAACTATTTTTTGGGTAGGAGGGATTGAACCTAGGGGCACTTAACCACTGAGCCACATCCCCATCCCCTTTTTACTTTATTTAGGGACAAGACTTTGCTAACTTGCTGAGGCTGGCTTTGAACTTGCAATCCTTCTGCCTCAGCCTTCCAGCCACTGGGATTATAGCTGTGTGATACCGCACCAGGCTGAGCCTGCACTCTTTTAAAAATAATTTGAGGTGAAAGACATCGTTTTATCAGGTGTGTGTGTTTGCCGTACTAGAGAATAAACTCAGTCCCTACTGAAAGCTAGGCAAGTGCTCTACCACTAAGCTACCCCCAGATAAAAATTAGCCATTTTATTTTTTATAAAAATATTTTTAGATGTAGATGGTCACAATACGTTTATTTACTTATTTTTATGTGGTGCTGTGAATCACCACTGAGCCACAACCCCATCCCTTATTTTTAATATTTTTATAGTAGATGAACACAATACCTTTATTTTATTTTTATCTGGTGCTGAGAATCAAACCCAATGCCTCACACGTACTAGGCAAGTGCTCTACCAACTGAGCTATAACCCCAGATCATCCAAAGTTAGCCATTCTAAATTGAACAATTCAGCAGCAGTTAGCACATCAATATTGTGCAACCATCACCTCTATCTAGTTCCAAAATATTTCCATCAACTCCAAAGCAAAACTCCTACCCCTTAAGCAATTTCCCCCTTCTCTTCTCCATGCACTTTTTGATCTTCACAATAACCCAACTGAATGATTGAGAAAAAGAGGTAAGAGTTTAGTGATAGGGGCTGGGGATGTGGCTCAAGCGGTAGCGCGCTCGCCTGGCATGCGTGCGGCCCAGGTTCCATCCTCAGCACCACATACCAACAAAGATGTTCTGTCGGCCGAGAACTAAAAAATAAATATTAAAAATTCTCTCGCTCTTTCTCTCTCCTCTCTCATTCTCTCTTTAAAAAAAAAAAAAGTTTAGTGATAGTTCCAAGGTCACACTGCTAGTAGATATGGAAAAGTGATTCTGACTCCAGTGCCTACACTTTTGGAAGAAGCCACAAGGAGGGGGGCTAAATTTCTGTTGGGGCAGGGACCTAGAACTAAGTGCGCCCTCAAGTGTTGAGGTAAAACTGCAATTAGGACTGTACAGGCGATTGGCAGAGCCAAAAGTAATGCAAGCCCTAGAGCAGTTACAGGTCAGGAATTAGAAATGTCAGCACTGCAGGAAGCATTGCAAACACCTCAAGATCAAGTCTATCACTTTTTGGGCATCTTCAATAGGCTCCAGTCTGTGAGTCAGAAGAGGCACAGCTAGGTGGGCGTGTTTTGCCTTCATGGGGTCGGGCCCTCCCCGGAAACCCCAGGTGAGTTGCCAGGGTGTATAGATCCCAGAAAAGAGGAGGAAGGAGATCTGAGTCAACAGCATCCCACTCTGAGGGGGGCCTCCAGGACACGGGAACTCCTTGGTATCTGTCTTATACTTCTTGGAGGAGCTGTCATTTCTAGTATCCCTCTCCCGCAACACGGGGGAGCTCTTTCTGGGGCTTCTCTCGCTCCCCGCCCCTCTCTAGCGATCTCAGATATGAGGCACTTTTCTGAGTTATATTCAGTTTCCTCTTCTCCTTTGAGAGGGGTGGGCGGGCCCATCCTGCTCCGAAGAGAAGGCTTCTTTCGCAAGCTCTCTACTTTTTTTCTGACCAGGGTAGTAGCCGAGTTCTAATCAACAATGCCCGGCGTTCAGCCCAATTCCGCCCCAGGTGTTGCCAGAGGGCAGCTCCATGGAAACGAAAACATCACAACTTCACGAAAGTATCGCGAGAAGCGCGGTTGCGCCCGCGGCCCAGAAGAGGCGGAGCGAGGGCGGGAACGCTGAGTGAAGGGGGAGGAGCCAGAGCGCTTCCGAGGTCCGGGTCGCGAGACTGTCTCTCCCTAGGCAGCGCCCCCGCGTGACTGCGCTTTACATAATCGCGGCCTCACGCGTCACAGTGGCGTACTCCAGTTCAGATCGAATCAGAGTGGTGTAAAGCTTCGCGTTTCGCCCTCTCCTGCTTGATCGACGTCGAAGTGAACCAGTGAACCGGCTTTCAGCGCCGCAGTGCCCGCCCCGGTTCGCCCAGGCCCGCCCGCGCCGGCCCGCGCCAACCCGCCCTCCTGCCGCAGCTAGCAGCCTGTCGCCACCGCCAGGTTGTGCCTCAGACTGTCAGATAAAGCGGCGGGCCGGGCCCGCGGGGCGGTGAGCACGGCCCGGGCCGGACATGGCGGCGCTCTACGCCTGCACCAAGTGCCACCAGCGCTTCCCCTTCGAGGCGCTGTCTCAGGGGCAGCAGCTGTGCAAGGTGCGCGGGCTGGGGCGGCGGCCGGGAACTGGGGACGCAGCAGGCGCGGCCCGGAACTCCCGGTTGTGCGGGACGCCCGGCGGGGTCCCTCAGGCTGGGTGTGGCAGGCCCGCCTAGCTGAGGAGACGCTCCCTCCCCTCTGGGGGCCGGCGGGGCACGTGGGGGAGGCCCAGGCCCAGTCCAGGCCCCCCGCGGCTGGCGTGTCCGGGTGCTTAGCAACCGCGGGGGATTGTTTTCCGAACCCGCGAGGTCGGGGGAGGGTCGGACGGCGGATCCCCTTCTTGCCGGTGACCAGCCACTCCGGGGATTCCTTTGGGCTGCCTTCCCCGCCAACGCGGTCCGCCCTGGGTGCCTACTCAGGGACCCCCTGCTCCGCCTGGGTTAAACTTGAGAGTTGGGTGCTGCCAGGGAGGAGTGTCTAGAACTCGGACACCTCACGGGCACTCTTCATCCGGTCTAAATCGAAGGTGGCAAGGAAAAAAGAAAAAAGTCCCCAATGAAGCGCACGAATCAGGATGACTTTTAAACATCTAATTGGTGGCCTTCGGTCCTCGCTTTAACCAGTTTTTACTCCTAAAGTCACAGTGTGTCTAAGTTTGCTTCATTCACTGTGCCTATGTCAATGAATAGAAGTGCTGCAGAGCAACAATAAAAGTTTCCAAGCCCACTGAAGAGTGATGTTGAGATATCCTTAGATAATCCAGAGTTTGTGACTCTGATTGGAGTAAGTCACAGTTGTATGTCAAGATTGCCTCAGATGGCCATGTTTACCAGATCTGAGAGAAGGCAAGCACTTGAGTGCCCTTTTTAGCCTAAAAATTACATATGATTTAAGGAAGTTTTAAATACATAAATAAAAGTGATTTTAATCTAGCACCTTCATTTCACAAGTAAACCTACTCAAAATCACACAGTAGCACAAGAATCAGAACTAGAATCTAGGATTTCAGATTCTCACTCTGGGTCTTATTCATATATGTTTGTTTTGCAATTTATGACCAGTACCATACAAATTCTTACTCCCACATCAACAGCACAACAGTGATGCAAATATTACAGAGGAGGAAAATAAGGCCCAGAAAGTTAAGTGACTCACTCAAGCATAGTGGCTGTGCTAGGAATAGTACCCAGGTCTTCTTCCTACTGAAGGCTGTTTCCATTTGTGAATGCCTTTTAAAATTATATCCTCATTTCATTTCAGGAATGTCGGATTGCACACCCAGTTGTGAAGTGCACCTACTGCAGGACTGAGTACCAGCAGGAGAGGTAGAGTTTTGGTTGACCATGAAAGATGTTATTAGGCTCTTCCCTCTTAAAAAACTGTGTTTGTATTTCATGTGCAGATCTGTAATTAATTTCATTGTAATATACAGATCAGTAGTGAATTACATTATTTACAGATTCAACAGTTTCCTGATACATTGAAGGGTGTATAATACATACATTATAACCTAAATTTTATCCTTTGATTGCTTTTTAAATTTTTTTTCTGTACTAGGAATTGAACCCTTGAACATGCTAGGCATGCTGTACCACTAAGCTACATCCCCATCCCTCTTTAATTCAATTTAATTTTTTAAAATATATATTTACTTTTCAGTTGTAGTTGAACACAATATCTTTATTATATTTATTTATTTTATGTGGTGCTAAAGATAGAACCCAGGGCCTCACACATGTGCTAGGCCAGCGCTATATGGCTGAGCCACAACCCCAGCCCTCCCGATTTAATTTTTTTCTGAGATGGGAGTCTCACTAAGTTTCATAGGCTGTCCTCAATATACAGTCCTCCTGCCTCCGCCTCCCAAATAGCTGGGATTATAGGTATGTACCACCCTGCCTGGCTATTTTTTAATTTTTAATTTTTATTTACTTATTTATTTTTTTGTGGTGTTGAGGATCAAATCTAGAACCACATACATGCTAGGCAAGCACTCTACCACTGAGCTACATCCCTGATTGCTTATATTTTTAAAGTTACTTAGTTTTCAAGTCCTTGATCATTTTATATAGGGGTTATGATCTTCCAGCCCTAAAGAAGCCAAACCCATAGCAGTAAAACATGAGTCTCAAGTTCCAGTATGTATATGTACAGAGGATGAAAAATTTATAAGGTCAAAGAAGATACTTTTAGAAATATGACAATCCTGATAAAAGGTTTGTTAGCCCTAGCCACATTTGAAACTCATTTTACACTTTCCTGATGTGAATCAATCTCTGCCTGCGCTCTCCTTTTGGTACTAGGATTGAGCCCAACCCTAAACCCCTCAGCCCTTTTAATTTTTTTGAGACAGATTTTGCTCTCTTGCTAAATTACTGAGGACCTCGCTAAATTGTTGAGGCTGGCCTTGAACTTGAACTTGTGATCCTCCTACCTTTTCCTCCTGAGTTGCTACGATTACTGGCTTGTATCACCACACCTGGCAAAATACTCAAATCTTAAGTACTTCATTCAACGAATTTTATAAATAGTAACCCCTAAACCTACAGAATATTACCCCCATTCCTTTCAGTCCTGTCATGCCTCCTCCTAGTCAATCCTCAACACTCCTTGTTTTCCGTGGGCAACCACTATTCTGTTGATTTCCATTTCTATGATCAATTAACTTTTCCTATTGAACTTCTTATTAATGGATCATACGGATCATATTTAGAGCTGTGTTTTATCTTTCTCATTTAGGCCAATAATTCATCGTGAATTAATTTTTGTGTAATGGTGAGATATGAGCTTTGATCCTTAATTTACACCACACACAGAAATTAATCCAAGATCATGAAAAGACATTTTTCTTTTTTTAAAAAATATTTTTTAGGGGCTGGGGATGTGGCTCAAGCGGTAGCGCGCTCGCCTGGCATGCGTGCGGCCCGGGTTCGATCCTCAGCACCACATACCAACAAAGATGTTGTGTCCGCCGAGAACTAAAAAAAATAAATAAATGTTAAAATTCTCTCTCTCTCTCTCTCTCTCTCTCTCTCCTCTTTAAAAAAAAAAAAAAAAAATATTTTTTATTAGTTATTGATAGACCTTTATTTATTTATTTACTTATATGTGGTACTGAGAATAGAGAGCCAGTGCCTCACACATGCTAAGCAAGCTCTCTACCACTGAGCCACAACCCTAGCCTAAGGTCATTTTTCTTTGTGTGTGAGTGTGTGTGTGTGTGTGTGTGTGTGTGTGTATGTGTGTGTTTGTACTAGGGATTGAACCCAAGGATCCTTAACCATTGAACCACATCCCCAGCCCTTTTTTACATTTTTTCTGGAGACAGGGTCTCACTGAGTTGCTTAGTGCCTCTCTAAGTTGCTGAGGCTGACTTTGAACTTGTAATCTTCCTGCCTCAGCCTCCTGAGCTGCAGGGATTGTAGGGGTATGTATATGCCACCACACCCATGCATTGTGCTGCTTCACTAATGCTAAGCAAATACTCTACCACTGAACTACATCCCCAACACCTGCACTTCAATTCTTTACTATTTTTCTTTCTTTTTTTCTTTTTGGGTGGTACTGGCGGTTGAGCCTTGTGCATTTGAGGATAGTACTTTACCACTGAGTTATGTCCCCAACCTTTTTTATTTTTATTTTGAGACAGGGTCTAAGTTTTCTAAGCTGGCCTCAGCCTCTTAATTAACTGGGATTACATGTGTGTACCACAACACTCAGCTTGAACTGCCTTCTTTAAGTAGCAGAAAATTGCCCTGTCCTGGAAAGTATTTTGTTTGAGTATCTTATTTATTTATTTATTTTTATGTGGTGCTGAGGATTGAACCCAGGGCCTCGCATGTGCTAGGTGAGTGTTGTACCACTGAGCCACAACCCCAGCCCCTGGCCTTAAATTTTCAATCTTCCTGCCTCAGCCTCCCAAGTCACTGATATTATAGGTGTGTGCTAGTGTGTCTGATGAGAAATCAGAAATTTTGATGAAATATTTGGTTTTAAAGTCTATTTCCCCACCTCTGGGATTTTCATATGCTTTTACTTACAGAGGACCTTAGTCTGTCTAAGGTCACCCTTGAATAGCAAACACCCAGTCACTAAGCTATATTCCCAGCACTCTGAGTTTATTTTCTAAATCCAAATACTTTATTCCTTATCTTAAATTTGTCAGTTATTCATCTGAATTAAAGAGAATTAATTTATTTTCTGCTAGTCCATTTTACTCTAACATAATTTTTTTATATATATTGGGGATTAAACCCAGGGGTGCTTAATAACCACTGAGCTACATATACCCAATTTTTTTAATTTTGAGACAAAGTCTTGCTGAGTTGTTGAGGGTCTTGCTAAGTGCTGAGGCTTGCTTCAAACTTGCTATCCTCCTGCCTCAGCCTCCTGAATTGCTAGGATTACAGGCATGTGCCATTGCACCCCAATCTAACATATTTTGAAATCTTTTCCATATCCAATAGTTTTATTTATATGGTACTTAAAGATGTCATAATCAGAAATAACTCACTCTTCATATTAAGTGAAGACTTATTTTATTTGAGATGACAAAATTAATAACCACATAATAATTCAAAGAGCTAATGGCCAAATAGATACTCGAAAGTCAGTTAATTAAGTGTCCAGACCATATTTTACCTTGCCCTTGGGCAATGAGCAAATTCCTTAGACTTAAGGAGGAATTCATTTACAGATGATCTAAGAAAAATTTGTCTTCTTTTTTCTTTAATAGCAAAACCAATACAATTTGCAAGAAATGTGCTCAGAATGTGCAGTTGTATGGAACGGTAAGTAAGATTTCTCTCTTCCTAACAGTGAGTACCTGGTTCTTTTGGAAATTTTTCTTCTGTAGACTATTAATGTCATTATAACATTTTTATTAGAACTAGTTATATTAATATATCTAGTATGTCATTTTTTAATCTATTTAATACTTACTATAATGGACTTCTGTGTTTATAGTTACTCTGTCAGGATTGATTATAATTTTCCTTAAGTGGCATTAGTGATCAGTATGAAAAGATGAGGTGAAAGATGAATCCTGTATCTTGACTTCTTTGTTAATAGTTGACTATTTTGAAGAATTATCTTTTTTTTTTCTTCTTAATGTTAGTGTTCAGAATACTATTTCTAAGCTAGGTATAGTGGCTCATGCCTGTAATTCCAGAAACTCAGGAGTCTTAAGGCAGAAGGTTGGCAAATTCTAGGCCAGCTTGAGAAACTTAGTGAGACTCTGTCTCAAAATAAAAAATTAAAAAGGGCTAGGGGTGTTGCTAAGTGATAAAGTGCCCCTGGGTTCAATCTGCAGTAACCTCCCCACCCCTACAAAAAAAGAACATTATCTGTGCAGGCATTTTTCTGATATGTTTATACACTGATGATGGTAAAGTGGCCTTTTCAGAAATTTGGAAGCACTTGCTGGTTTCTCCAAAGAGCTGGTTCTGTTGCATTTATCATAGAAATCTCATCATGCATACTAATGGGTTTTTGTCATTTGTTCATTTATTTAAGAAATAGTCTTGTGAAGAAAAATGTTTGTATTAAGAATAAGCTTTGGGGACTGGGGTTGTGGCTCAGTGGTAGAGCGCTTGCCTAGAATGTGTGAGGCTCTGGGTTTGATTCTCAGCACGACATATACATAAATGAATAAAATAAAGCCATCAACATCTTTAAAAAAAAAAAAAAAAGAGCACCATGAGTTCACACTCAGCCTCAGCAAAATCGAGGCGCTAAGCAACTTAGTGACTGACTCTGTCTCTAATTAAATACAAAATAGGCTGAGGATGTGGCTCAGTTGTTGAGTGCCCCTGAGTTCAATTCCCAGTACCTCCCCCGCAAATGAGCTTCATTTGATCAACTTAAAAGCAAATTTATAAAGTTGGGAATATATTTTTACTTACTCTGTAGGAATTATTGCTTTACAAAAATGTACTGGTATTTTATCACATGTTTATTTGATGCATTTTTCCCCCTCTTTAAGCCCAAACCTTGTCAGTATTGCAACATAATTGCAGCATTTATTGGCAATAAATGCCAACGTTGCACAAATTCAGAGAAGAAGTATGGACCACCATATTCTTGTGAGCAGTGCAAGCAGCAGTGTGCGTTTGACAGGAAAGATGATAGAAAGAAGGTAAATATGTATTTTTCTTGATTTTTTTTTTCTTTCAGAGAAATTAAAGTGGGCCAATTATATTAAAAAGACATATAACAGTGCTCTATATGTGTAATGTGAAATGAATTGCATTCTGCCATCATGTATAACATATTAGAATAAATAAATAATAAAAAAAACTTTATAAAAGACATATAACAGAGAGTTCCTTTCTTGGTTCTCCTCTTGGCCTTGAAGAAGATAATTAGACTGTTTAATTTATCAAATGTAAGCCATTATATTCCAACATTTTATAAGAATCCAAATTACAGGGATCAATATCCCTGTAATTAGAAATATTGTATTCTAGGTAGTAATTGTCAGAAGTCTATAGTAAATTCTGTAAGAAGAGGTTGTGACTTAAAATAGTGCTATTACTAGTATTAATATCTGATATCTGGTTCTTTAAATTTTTTTTTTTTTTTTTTTTAGAATTGGAGATTAGACTCAAGGGTACTTGACCACTGAGCCACATCCCCGTCCCTGTTTTTTATTTTATTTAGAGACAGGGTCTCACTGAGTTGCTTAGTGCCTTGCTGTTGCTGAGGCTGGCTTTGAACTCGCAATCCTCCTGCCTCAGCCTCCTGAGCTACTGGGATTATAGGCATGGATCACCGAGCCCAGCTCTTTAAATGTTTTTATATGTTGAAGTTAAAAATCACAAGAAGCGGGGGCTGAGTTTGTGGCTCAGTAGTGGAGTGCTCATCTTGCATGTGTGAGGCCCTGGGTTCAATTCTGAGCACCACATAAAAATAAATAAAATGGAGGTGTTGTGTCTAACTACAACTAAAAAAAAATAAGATATTAAAAAAAAATTCACAAGAAGCCGGATACGGTGGCACATGTGTGTAATTCCAGCAGCTCAGGAGGCTGAGGCAGGAGGATCAAAGAGTTCAAAGCCAGCCTCAGCAGTGTCATGATGCTAAGCAACTCAGTGAAAACCTGTCTCAATAAAAAATACAAAATAGGGCTGGGAATGTGGCTCAGTGATTGAGTGCCCCTGAGTTCAAACCCTGATAACCCCTTCTCCCCCACCAAAAAAATCACAGGAACATAGTTATTTAGTGTCCTGTTTAAAAATTTCCCATGGTTTCTGGTTATGCTTGAACTAAAACTCAAACTCCTTCCTTACTTGCAAGTCCTGTACCCAGCAGTCAGTCTCATCATCCGTCATGCTTCCAGTCTCTTCCCTTCTTCCATTCCTCCTGGCTGCCTTTCAGTCCTTCAGACATGTTAGTCTCATTTCCTCAACACTGCCACCTTTAAGCTGGCTGTTCTTTTGCCCAATGTGCCCTCTCCACACTGTTTCAACCCAGATGCTACCTCCTCACAGAGACCTTCTTTTACTACACTCCCACAATTACTACTCCTTATATCCAATTACTTTCTGTTATTGTCTTCATAGCATGTAACATTGTGAAAATTGATCTTGCTTATAAATAAGTATTTGTCCATTCCTGCTAAAAATTAGCTTTTTCCCCATCTTATTGTTTCTACTATATATTTCCAAAGGCCTGGCATATGGTATGTAATAAAATAATATTTGTTGACTAGAAGAATATAGTATAGAAATTCTTTTTCAGTGGCCAAAGGTAATTTTCAGAGATGCTTAAGCTTTCAAGAGCTGACTGTTGCTAACCAAACATGTTCATTTATTATGAAAGGATATAACTTTCAGTGACCAGAGTACTCCTGCCAACTAGGGTACCTTTCTGTGAGTCAAGATACTGGAGAAGCTGAATTGGTAATCAAGAGGTAGCTTATAACTGTATGTTGCCCAGGTCTAGGCAATAATGCAAGCTTTGCAGTCCCCTACATCTGAGTCCCTTCTTACTCCTGGAGCTAGCTAAATGAACCTGGGAAATTTATTCTAATTATGCATCAATTTCTTTATTTTTCTCAACAGGAATAAAAGTAGATACTTCACTAGAGGCATGGAGATATTTAATGAGATAGTTATATAAAACAGTTTTGACTGACACGTACTATAACTCAATAAATGGTACCTGTATTAATATGAATTAGTTTAGCTAATTTAAAAAATCTATTTATACTAGAGTTCCTTAAGTTTCTACTTGTTACAATCCTAAGCATTTGGGATATTTTTAGACATACTCAAAAACTTTTGAGACATCTACTGGGCATCATGGCATGGCCTAAGATGGAGACTAAGACTGGAAGATCACAAGCTTAAGAACAGCCTGAGAAACATAGTGAGATCCTATCTCAAAAAAAAAAAAAAATAGAGAAGGCTAAACTCAGGGATTAAGAGAGGGTGCTTTGTGGCTGGGGATGTAATCTATTGATAGAGTACTTGCCTAGCATGCACAAGGCTCTGGGTTTGATCCTCAGCAACACATACACATACAACCATAGAATGGATCATTCAGACTCAGAATGCATTTTGTATTTATTTAGAGACAGGGTCTCACAATTAGTTATATGAAATTGGACAGCTTAATCTATTCGTGTTCCAGTTTTCTTATCTGTAAATGCAGATGATCAGACCTCAGTGGTGTTAGAAAGGATGAATTATTATGTCTAAGTCCCTTAATGGAATCTGATACAGAATTAAGTGCTCAATCAGTGTTTTATATATGTATATTTAGGTGCTGGGAATTGACCCCAGAACCTAGTATATGCTAAGTCAGTGCTCACTGAACTACATCCACAGCCCTTTTCATTTTTTTATTTTGAGACAAAGTCTGGCTAAATAGGCTGTCTTCAAACTTGTAATCTTTCTACCTCAACCTCCCAAGTAGCTGGGATTACAGGCATGCACCACCACACCTGACAATAATTTGTTTTTGATATTTTAATTCTCAAGATTATCTTTTATGTTTAAAGTTTATTTGCTTATTTATTTTGGGGATGCCAGGGCTTGAACTCAGGAGCACTTGGCCACCGAGCCACATCCCTGGCCCTATTTTGTTTAGAGACAGGATCTCACTCTCAGGAGTTGCTTAGTGCCTTGCTGTTGCTGAGGTGGCTTTGAAGTCTTAATACTCCTGTCTCAACCTCTTGAGGTGCTGGGATTACAGGCATGCATCACCATTCCTGGCTTTAAGTTTATTTTTATTTTTATTTATTTTTTTAAATTTTTTTTAAAGAGAGTGAGAGAGAGAATTTTAATATTTTTTTTTTTAGTATTTGGCGGACACAACATATTTGTTTGTATGTGGTGCTGAGGATCGGACCCGGGCCACACACATGCCAGGCGAGCACGCTACCGCTTGAGCCACATCCCCAGCCCCTAAGTTTATTTTTAAAGGAAAGATTTATCCTTGGTTCTCTGTGCAGCTTCTTGTTCAATACTTATTTTCTTTCAGTGGAATTGCATTTTTTTTTTTTTAATCCTTTGTTGAGGGGGTAGGGTCATGGCTCAGTGGTAGAGTGTTTGCCTTGCATGTGTGAGGCACTAGGTTCGATCCTCAGTACTACATAAAAATAAATAAAGATATTGTGTCCATCTACAACTAAAATAAATATTAAAAAAATAATCCTTTGTTAAATTCTTTCCTGGCCAGAGTCTTCTATTGTGTTTTAAAATCAGGTTTTCAGATCATGTCCATAACTATGGCATAAACTAGATCAAAATTTTTTTCAAAGTGCATTTGTATATTTATAAACAAATAATTAAGGGCTGGGGATGTGGCTCAAGCGGTAGCGTGCTCGCCTGGCATGCATGTGGCCCGAGTTCGATCCTCAGCACCACATACAAACAAAGATGTTGTATCCGCCGAGAACTAAAAAATAAATATTAAAAAATTCTCTCTCTCCCCCCCTCCTCAAAAAAAAAAAATAATTAAATACCTATCATCTACCAGACTCAATTCTAGGTATTGGAAATATACTAATGAACTAAATAAATAAGACCTTATTCTCCCAGACTTTATATTCTTTTTTTTTAAGTTTATTTATTTATTTTAGATATAGGCGGACACAATACCTTTATTTTATTTTTATGTGGTGCTGAGGATCAAACCCAGTGCTTCAAGCATGCTAGGCAAGCACTCCACTGCTGATCCACAGACTTTATATTCTTGTGTATCAGAGAGAGATGGATGAAGACAAAGAAGGACATAAATAAGCACAAATTTTAGAGTACCTGGTAGAAAGTCAGTGAGGTTTCCACCTAAATTGGACAATCAGGAGATGACATTTGAGTTGAAACTAAAATGATAAGAAGACAGTAGGCACTCTCGAGGGCAAAGGTTCCTGGAAGAGACACCAACTGTGCAAAGACCTTAAAGCAAAAATGAACTTGGCACTTGGGGAGAACAGAAGGCAGGGTGAATAAGGGGAAGAGAAAGAAAATGAAGTTGTTATAGACTAGGTAGAGGCTGCATTTAAATCAAATTAGCCATGGTAAAGTTTGGATTTTATAATAGACGAGAAAATCTTGGATTTTAAGGAAAGAGTATGCAATCACATTTACATTTATGAAGCCCTCATCGGCTGCTATGAAGAAATAGTTCACAAGGCCCCAGGAATGAGAAGTAGGGTGGTCCTTTGAATGGCTCTTGAAGTAGTGACAGATGAGAATGGTGTAAAATGGAAGTAGTGGAGTTAGAAGGAAGAGGATAGTTTCAGACTGATGAATTGCTGATGAGTTAGAGAACAGTGATGTAACAAACCCTTGTTCGAGATGGTGCATATGATCTAATTTTAGCAATTATAAATGCAGGCTATAAAATTCTATAAAATATCAGCAACCTGAGTTATTACACCCAGCTCTACACAAAGGGTTTTGCATTCCAAATGCTCCACAAAGGCACCCCAGCTTCAGAGGGTGGTGGAAGTCATTCTGCTTTCCTAGTTTGTGTCTGGCTCTCTGGTGCACAGCTGCTTCTGTTTAAAGGAATCAACATTATCTAGTTTAGACTGTGCAATGGAAGGCTGCCACCAGGCACTGGTATCTGGAAGCTACACATCCATTCATCTTTCTCTGGGGAAATTATTTCCATCTCAGAGAAGGTATCCAGTATGCCATTTTGTGAGCCATTATATAATGTATTAAAACTGAAGTATGGGAGAGTTTGGGTACATGATAATCTAAGGTTATAAAATTTCATTTAGGGAGAATAAGTTTAAGAGATGTATTGTACAATATGGTGAGTATAGTTAATAATGAGTTGTATTCTTGAAGATTGCTAAGAGAGATTTTTTTAGTTTTTGTTTGTTTGTCTTTGGTACTGGAGATTGAAACCAGGGGTGCTTTACCACTGAGATACAACCCTAGCCCTTTTTATTTTCTGAGACAGGGTCTTCTTAAGTTGCTAAGGGCTATGCTAAGTATCTGAGGCTGGATTTGAACTTTCAATCCTCTTGCCTCAGTCTTCCATCTCATTAGGATTATAGGCATGCACTACCATGTCCTGCTAGATGTAAGTGTTCTCACACACACACACACACACACACACAAAAAAAAAAAAATGTAAGGTAGCTGGGAGCAGTGGTGCATGTCTGTAATCCCAACAGGTTTTGAGGTTGAGACAGGAGGATCTAGAGTTCAAAGCCAGCCTCATAAAAGCGAGGTGCTAAGTAATTCAATGAGACCCTGTTTCTAAATAAAATACAAAATTGGGCTGGGGTGGGCTCAGTTCAATCCCTGGTATCCCCCCACACACCAAAAAAAAAAAAAAAAAAAAAAAAGGTAAGGTAAGGCCTGTTAATTAGTTTGATATAGCCATTTCACAATTTCTATACATTTCAAGACTATATGTTGGGGCTAGGGATATAGCTCAATTGGTAGAGTGCTTGCCTTTTTAGCACAAGGCCTTGCTTCAATCCCCAACATCACACACACACAAAAAAATACATGTTATACATGAAAATACATACAATTTTTATTGGTCCATTTAAAAAGTGAAGTATAAACTTTGTTTCATCTTCTACCTTCTCCCTGCTGAGTTTTCCATAATGAGCACCATGGAAACATCTGTCTTTTGAAATTCTTGTGGGGGGCTGGGGATGTGGCTCAAGAGGTAGCGTGCTCGCCTGGCATGCATGCAGCCCGGGTTCGATCCTCAGCACCTCAGTTTGTATCCTCAGCATACAAACAAAGATGTTGTGTCCGCCGAAAACTAATAAATAAATATTAAAATTCTTTAAAAAAAAAAAAAGAAATTCTTGTGGGACCTTTGCTCTGGTCTGTGTTTGCTAAGATGAAGAAAAACAAAATAAGCAGGAATAAAATAGAGGCTGTTTTTACTAAACAACTTTTATGTTGGCACCATGCTAAGTGTTTTATGTACATTATGTTACTAAATCCTTGAAGCAGCCCTCTGTGACTTGCTCAAAGTTACACAGCTGACAAGTGGGAGAGCTGGAACTTAACCCAGGGTTTCTAATTCCTAGTGCCCATATTCTCAGTCACTGCACTACATTTCCTGTTCTTTATCTTTGTCTCCTTGTCTTTCAGGTAGATGGGAAATTGCTATGCTGGCTGTGCACACTTTCATACAAACGTGTTCTCCAGAAGACCAAAGAGCAAAGGAAGCACCTGAGCAGCTCTTCTCGTGCAGGCCACCAGGAGAAGGAACAGTACAGCCGCCTGAGTGGTGGTAGCCATTATAACAGGTAACCCCAGGTGCATGAGATAGGACTAAAAGTGCTAGGTAGGTGAGATGTTGGGCAGTTAGGGAAGATACTGTCTTGTATGAGTTTTCCCATTTTCTCTTTGGTGACAAGCCTATAGGAAGAATCCCATTTGTCATATTTTATAATTCCTGTATCTTCCAAGAGCTAGGGAGATTGATTTCTTTCTTTCTTTTTTTTTTTTTTTAAACAAAAAACAAGGGCTGGGGATGTGGCTCAAGCCGTAGCACGCTCGCCTGGCATGTGTGCGGCCCGGGTTCGATCCTCAACACCACATACAAACAATGTCCGCCAAAAACTAAAAAATAAATATTAAAAATTCTCTTTCTTTCTCTCTCTCTCTCTCTTAAAAAACAAACAAACAAAAAAAAAACACTAGGGATTGAACCCAGAGGTTCTCTACCACTGAGTTACATCTCCAGCCCTTTTTATATATTTATTGTTTAAGACAGGATCTCGCTGAGTTATCCAGGTTGGCCTTAAAACCTGCAGTCCTCTTGCTTCAGCCTCCTGAATAGCTTACAGGTGTGTCCCACTGCATTTGGTGTAGTTTAAGGTGTCAGAATTTTCTGACTTTGTATTGTGTCTTAAAGTTTTGTGGAACTTACTCCATGTGTAGTGTTCTCGTCATCCTTTGGATGTTTTTTTTTTTTTTTTTTTCTTTAAAAGACATTTCACTTCCTGAGGGACACAGCTTTTAAAATATGTATTTGGCCAGGAGAGTGATAGATATTCTAGATTCTTGTTAGAGTGAAATCCAGTCAAAAAAATGTTCTTCCATTGATGCTTTAACCTTTCTGTCAGAGTGTCTGTAGTAGTGTTAAGATCTGTGTGTCTGGATTGAATCCTGGCTCTGCCAAGTTTTCTATGGGTATCTTGGGCAAGTTTTCTCATCTGTAAAATAAAAAAAATAATAGTATTACCTCATGGGGTTGTTGTAAAGATAAATTATATAGTGCATGCACAGTGATTAGTTTTATAACTGGCACATAGGAAGTATTCAATATATTTTAGTTATTTTTTATTATTACCCTCATGACTTTGTTTATTCACCAGACATTAAGTACTCTAATGGACCAGGGGTTCTGCTGGGCATATAGAGGTGAACAAAAGAGTCATGCTGCTCTCCAAGAGTATGCAGTCTGGTAGAGAAGACAGACTTGTAATCAAATCATTGCACCCTAATGTGAAGGGCACCACAGTGGGAACATATCAAGATATAAGTATGTGAGGCAGTAATAATTAACCATCTCAGGAAACAAGGCATGGCAAGCTTAGAGAAGAGCTGTTAGGTAACTGGATCTTGGGATGAGTTGGATCATCAGATAAGACTGGGCAGTGGCATCCTAGGCTAAAGGAATAGCATTTACAAAGAATTTGAAGTCTTTTTACTCTGCTGGAGCTTGTGATTGCGAGCTGGGGAATGGAAGGAAAAAGGATCATGCAGACCTGATAAAGGAGTGTGAAGTTGGGTTAGTAGGAAGCCACTGAAGGGATCTGTGCATGGGAGAGACTAAATCTGCATTAAAAACAACCTTGATTGGTGGAGAAGCATCAGAAGTAAAAAGGTCTGGGGGGGGCTACTTAAGAAGCTTTTTTGTAAGAGTTCAGATAAGAGAAGTTCAGATAAGAACCTTATCTGAGCCATGTTGGCACATGCCTACAATCCCAGTTAGGAATAGGAAGCAGAATTGCAAGTTCAAGGACAGCCTGGGAATCTTAGGGAGACCTTGTTTCTTTTCTCTTCTTTTGTTTTTGTTTTTGGTACTAGGGATTGAACCCAGGAGTGCTTACTGAACCACATCCCCAGCCCCTTTTTTTTTTTTTTTTTTTTGAGAGTCTTGTTCAGTTGCTTAGGGTCTCACTTGGCTCATTTGGTTGCTGAGGCTTGGCTTAAACTTGTGATCCTCCTGCCTCAGCTTCCTGAGGTGCTGAGACTACAGGTGTGCACCATTGGGCCAACTAGGAGACTGTTTCAAAATTTAAAAAGGATCAGGGTTGAAGCTTAGTGATAGAGTACTTGCCCAGCATATATGAGGCCTTTGGTTCAATCCCAGAAAGAAAGAAAAGAAAAAAAAAAGGAAAGAAAGAAAAAGAAAATAAGGTCTTGCACAGAAAAGCTACTATCTTATATTGGTTCAATAGACAGACTTTCATTATGGTATCTTATTAATCTTTGATTTCTAACATGTATTTCTCTATTTTTGCCATTAAAAGCCAGAAAACACTTTCTACATCTTCAATTCAAAATGAAATCCCAAAGAAAAAATCCAAGTTTGATTCAATCACAACAAATGGAGACAGGTGAGCCAGTTGGAGTATGTGTGCACACACAATTGAAATGCATACACAGTTCCTAAATCTAGAATGTTTTAGGTTGTACCTTGGAGCTAGTCTACAGCTGTCAGTGAACCATTGAGGGATTAGCTATTTGATAGCTGATATATTTAACAGTACTTATAAACAGCAGTACTGATATTAGTCAAATCTTATTTAAGCATAAGAATGTGTAACTTGTAACTGGATTTAATAGAAGTTGAATTCTGCAGTTCACTAACTAACTGTCCTACACTGGTAAACACTGAATGTTTTTCATTGTGGTCTGTGCCTGTAGCCTCCTCTAGGCAGGGTAGGAGTTGGTTTTCAGAGGTAGAGCAGAGACAGGTGGGGTTAACACAGTGTTGTGTGAGGGGTATTCCATACTTTCATAGCATTCAGAAAGCCAGCCCAGTGCAGATACTGGATCAGAAGAGAATGAGATGCATTTAAATATTTTTGTTTTATTTCCAGCCTGTTTAAATGCATAATTTTATTCCTCACTTTCCTCTCTCCTTCTCAGCGATGCTTCCTCTTACGAGCTGCTTTGTCCTAATATCCAGAGTGCCCCGTCCGTGTTGGTGCAGTGGGCCACTTCCCAACAGAGTCTTGGGGCCACCAATTTTCCTGTTCCTCCAGGCCCGGGCATCTTGAAGTGAGATCACCTAACACAGTCCCTAAGTCCTTGGAATCATCTCTAGTCTGAAAATGTCTCCCATTCACAGTTCTCCCTCCCATTCAGTGGTGGATACGGGAACAGACCCTCAAATAGACTTACCAGGGCTGAATTTATTCATCAGAGTATAAAACACCTGTGAAATTTACTCTTTCCCACTGTCTTTTTCATTAAATTTATTTCAGACCCTACCAAGATAGTGTCTTTTTACAACTAGTTTAATTGATGTTAAACTTCTTGAATTAAACCTTCTGGAAACATGTAACTAAATGTTCAGATTACATGAGGGAAGGAACCATGAAGACCATCTTTGTGATCAATTTTTCTATTCTCTGAGCAGTCAGCCTGGCCATTCTGAAAGCATGTGAGGCAGATAGTCTATCATCTCTGTCATTGTGCATGACCCTTCAAAAACTACTTAAAGAAATGAAGTTTTCTTTGTTTTTTAGGACACAGGGTCTCACTACATTGCCCAGGCCCAAATGATCCTCTCACCTCTATATATAGAAACAAGGCATTCAAGCCAAGACCTATACCTGTATTTATTTATTTTTCTTTTTCTAGGTTTTTTTCTTTTTCTTTTTAAAGACCTATACCTTTAGAGTTTTCATTTCTGTTTGTGCTCATTTATAACCCAGGTTGGATTGAATGACCTTGATAAAGCTCTTTCATGTCCTCTAGTTTAACCAAGTAGTCTTTAAGTTTATCATTTAGTAGCTTATTCTGTTCTTGAAATATTGCACTGATTTTGCCGTCCATTGCCATGGATACACAAAACTAAAAACTCCATCTCTCTGTACAGACTATTTTATTGCATCTCAGAGTTCAGTCACCAGCAGTGACTGTATTCCTCATGTAGGATGCTGATTCTTGAGGTCTTTTATCCATACAAGATACTGAAAGATCATTTTCTCCTTAGATGAACATATTGATTGTTTAAAGTATAATTTAATCTCAAAATTGGAAATCTGGAAAAATGTTTACACATACGTAAGTTCTATTTGAATATACTATATTACTAGTCTTAACATTTTATTCCCCTTATTTGTATTTAAAAAAATTTTTTTTTGTAGTTGTAGATGGTCAGAATGCCTTTTTATTTTACTTATAATTTTTTATGTGGTGCTAAGGACTGAATCCAGTGCTAGGCAAGCACTCTGCCACTAAGCTATAGCCCTAGCCCCCTTATTTGTATTTTTAAAAAACCATTCATGGGCTGGGGATGTGGCTCAAGCGGCAGCGCGCTCGCCTGGCATGCATGTGGCCAGAGTTCAATCCTCAGCACCACATACCAACAAAGATGTTATATCCGCCGAGAACTAAAAAAAATAAATATTAAAAATTCTCTCTATCTCTCTCCTCTCTCACTCTCTCTTTAAAAAAAAAAAACCATTCATAACACAGGATAAATTACATTTTGCTATTCTGTTTAGTTTGTGGGTTTTCTGCTTTTAATTTATTTTTAAAATAAATTCTTAGAGGCTGGGATTGTGGCTCAGTGGTAGAGCACTTGCCTTCCAAGTGTGAGGCACTGGGTTTGATTCTCAGCACTGCATATAAATAAATAAAATAAAGGTCCTTCAACAACTAAAAAAAAGCATTATGAGCTGGGTGCAGTGGTGCACTCCTGTAACTCAGTAGAATGAGGCAGTAGGATCTCAAGTTTGAGGCCAACTTTAACCTTGTTTCAAAAGATAAGAGGAGGTAGGGATATAACTCAGTGGTAGAATGCCTCTGGGTTCAATCCTTAGTACACAAACAAACCTGAAACATTCCAACAGTCCTTTGTTTTTTTAAGACTTTTTTAAGTCACACAGACTAAAAAATTTTAAATGCATACCTATGTACCAAGTATTATCAGTCAAAATGTCTATTATTTACCTTCCTCTCACTTTTTAATTAATCACAAACCACTTTCCTGTCCCCACCTTTAAAATATTCATATACTTTTAAATTTATGCTCTTACTCTTTAATATTTATTCTTTATGCCTTCTGCAAGTTTGCTCCTTAACTTTTTTTTTTTTAAGAGAGAGTGAGAGAGGAGAGAGAGAGATAGAGAGAATTTTTAATATTTATTTTTTAGTTCTTGGCGGACACAACATCTTTGTTGGTATGTGGTGCTGAGGATCGAACCTGGTTCGCGCGCATGCCAGGCAAGCGCGCTACCGCTTGAGCCACATCCCCAGCCCGCTCCTTAACTTTTCAATGATCTTTATATACTGCCACATTCTTCTCTCCTATTTATTTAGTACCAAGGCATATTTTTTTCTTCTCTTATTCTTTATCCATTAGCCTCCTATATTGTACAGACAGAACACATTATCTTAACTTTCTATAATAGTTTAATAATCATAAGGCTTGGTCTTTTCTGTTTTTCAAAAATTACAGCCTCACTATTTTTAATTTGTTAAAGTTGTAACAAAACTTTTTAATTTAAGGAAAATCTGAGCTAATGATTATCCTTCATTCCTTCCTTGAGAAAATGTACCAGCTACTTTTTGATCATATTTATTTATTATTCCATAGGAAAATTTTAAAAAGCAGTTTTGGGGTAGTGAGTGGCATCAAGGCAGACCTTGTGGCTTATTGTTTCTTAAGATCCTTTTTTTCCCTTGTAATTTCATTTTATTCTCCCTCCTGAAAGATAGGACTTCTGTGTGGCATTTGAGGACCAATGTGCAGGGTTATAGGGAGGCAGGTTTGGGTTCAACTTAAGGAAGATTATTATATTAACAGCTTTTGGGAGAGACAAGTTTCATGGAGAAGTAATGAGCTCCCTGTCATTGAAGGTATTTGAAAAAAGACTGACTTTTCTGTCTTGCTAATGTAATCCTCTTTTTTCATTTCCAGCGGTTCTTATTGGACGAAGAGTTAGAGAGTCAGAGAGATAAGCCCCTAACATAGGATAGACAGAACTGGTTTTGTCACAATTTATTGGTAGGAGAAGAATCTTCTCTCAAGAAACAGAGGAGAGCATTAGGACCCTTGAGGACAATGATGAGTTACTTATACTACTAGCTTATTACTCTGTTTCATTCATTTCTGTATTTGTATGTTTATATAGACTGTTGGTTGAGAAAAGACAGGTCCTTGGTAGTACTGAAATCCATGTAAAGCTGCAGATATAAGGATACTGCACATCTGAAACTGGTAGAGATTGTCATATGTCTTTTGCATTTACTTTTTGTTATCCAATAATTCTGTACAAGGATCAGTTTTTGAAAGTAATCTGTTCATTCTTCCTCTGACATTCTTCTTATATGCTTCATGTAGACTAGAGTGGGGGACAATGTTCTCATCAATGAAATGTGTCTTCCAATTCTAACCATAGAAATGTTGACTTGGTAACTATGAGGAAGTATGTGCTGTGGTCAGGCTTGCTATTTGGAGTTTCTTCCCAAGTAGAGAAGATGGGATATGATTTAAGATATAAGAAGGAGATAGGTACAGTAGTACATGCCTGTAATCCTGGCTATTAAGTAGACTGAAATGGAGGATCTCAGAGTTCAAGGCTAGCCTGGGCAACTTAGTGAGATCCTGTCTCAAAATAAAATTTTAAAAAAGAGATGAAGATGTAGCTCAGTGGGAGAGCACTTGCTTACATGCATGAGGCCTTCCCTGTGTTCGAACCCCAGCACTGAAAACAAAACAAAACAAAAAACAGGAAGAACCAACCACAAAGAGAACTACAAATTTTTACTCTATTGTCATAGCAAGTTGATTTGTTTTGCTTTATTTTTTAAGTTATTATTTATTTATTTGGTACTGTGGTTTGAACCAAGGTATGCTTTATCATGGAGCCACATCCCCAACCCTTTGTATTTTTTATTTTGAGACAAGAACTTTCTAAGTTGCTTAGGGATTCATTAAGTTGCTGAGGCTTGTATTAAATTTGTAATTCTCCTGCCTCAGTCTCCCCAGTTTTGGGATTATAGCCATGTAGTACCATGTCCAACCCCTTCCTATTAGTTTTTCACAAAAAGAACTGGTATGAAATGCAGCATCTTCTCAGAAGCCACATCTCCTCATAATATATGCACTTATAATCTATCATCTATCCAGAATTCTAGGGATGTTTTCTAATCACAGATATTATAGCTCTTTCCGAGGTACATCTTGGGGACCTTTAGTGAACCTGAAGTAGTATCTGAGGCTCTTAGAATATAGCATTTACTTTAATCCTGAATTTGAGAGAAAATGCTACAGGATGCCACTGTGTTATGGTTTGAGATGGTGTCATTCTGATGATCACCTAATCTGTGTAGTTCCAGTTCAGCAAATGCTCTTAAGTTTGGTGTGTATGAAGCAATGTCCTCAATACTAGGAATTCAAATAGTTACTCCTGCCCTTGAGGAGTTCATAGTCAAGTGGCCTAGGATGCATCCTGAGGTAGAGAAAAGTATATATCCATCCAAGTTATGATTTTTTCCCCCTCCATTTTTCTATTCAGCTTTTCCCCAGACCTGGCTCTGGATTCACCAGGCACTGACCACTTTGTCATCATTGCTCAGCTGAAAGAAGAGGTAGCTACTCTGAAGAAGATGTTGCATCAAAAGGATCAAATGATCTTAGAGAAAGAAAAAAAGGTATGGTTAGTTAACACTTTTCAGACCAGAATGATGCAAGGGTATGGGACATGATGATAACTCTATTTGAAATTTATTGAGTAATTACTATTGATGCTTTTAGAGAGATCCCATGGTAAGGTGGGATGTCCTAGGGAAAGGCTAACCATTTGTGGTTACTCATGAGATGACATTACCTAGGTTAATTACCTTAGCCCAGTGGGTTCAAAAAGCTGATTTTTCTTAGCATTAAGAAGGGAGTTCCATGGCTGGGGTTGTGGCTCAGTGGTAGAGTAGCATGTGTGAGGCCCTGGATTCGATTCTCAGAACCACATAAAAATAAAGGTATTGTGCCCAACTACAACTAAAACAAAATATTTTAAAAATATATTTTAAAGAAAAAAGGGAGTTCTACTTTTTAGGCGGGACATTTGTTAGCCAAGATAAGGGAGATGATGTATAAAACCACAGTGTCTACTTCTTAATTCACAGTGGGACATACAATAGCATACTACTATTCTCAGCATGAACTACCTTGGACGATTGTAGTCAGAAGATGCTGAATAAGCATGGAGTTGGAATAAGAAATAGTGTTTATGTAATTGGAATGTTTAATGCTGTCAGGCTAAAAAAATCTGTTGTCTCCATTTCTGTTATGGGGAAAGCTGTATCCATGGTCCAGTAATACTCAGAGTATGAGGCCAAGGCTCCCCACTCCCTGGACAGTGTTCAGGTGAGCCCCTCTCCATGACTCTTGCATCACTTGCTTTGTGTCATTGCTGCAGCTCCTTTACTAAGTGACCCACTATAAATACATAAATACCTTATTAATATTTTAAGTGTTAACATTCTATCTGCACATCAGAATATTTTCTATATTCTTATATTTCTAGTATATTTACGTTAATATCTTTAGAATGAGACCAGTTTTATTTTGGTCTAAGAGTCATCTGCTTCTTCCCCCCACCCCCCTTGATACTGGAGATTGAACCCAGGGGTACTTTACACTGAGCTACATTTTGAGCCCTTATATTTTTTATTTTGAGACAGGGTCTTGCTAAGTTGCTGAGGCTGATCTTGAACTTGCAATTCTTTTGCCTCAGCCTCCTGAGTCACTGGGATTACATGCGTGCACTATCTCCCTCTCTCTTAGATGGAGGGGAGCTTTTGACGTTCTTGTTCTAATTTGTTCTTTATTATTATTTTATTTCTGTGTTCTTAGTATCTCATTTTGTGGGGTTGGGGCAGGAGTACTAAGGAATCAAACCAGGGCCTCATGCATAATAGGCAAGAGCTCTACCACTGAACTACATACCCAGCCCTTTTTGTATTTTTTTGAGACATGGTCTCCATAAGTTGCCCAGGCTGGCCTTGAACTTGCATTTCTCCTGCCTTGGCCTCCTGAGTTGCTGGGATTATAGGCATGTGCTTTTGTACCTGGCTAAGAGTATCTCATTTTTGCCTTCATAACAAAAACTTTTATTGCTGACTTTGTGCCTAGTTCTACTCTAAATGCCTTTATGTATTAACTACCCATATAACAAGTTTATGAGGCAAAAATTATTAACATAATTTCATATATATATTAGTTGTAGATGGACACAATACCTTTATTTTGATCATTTATTTTTATGTAGTACTGAGGATTGAACCCAGTGCCTCACGTGTGCAAAGCAAGTGCTCTACCACTGAGCCACAACCTCAGTCCCTATTATCATAATTTTATAGGTGAAGAATATCTCTGCTGTTTTCCTTTTAGGGCTCCAGTTACCTCCCTTATGTCTGTTCCTCCCTCCATGGCTATATGTTGTCTTATACCACATTCAGAATGTTGTGATTCATTCTAAGTGACTCACAGACATTTACAATGTTAAATTATCTTTTGCTTTTCCTTTTTTTTTGAGATGAAGTCTGTCTTTGTTGCCCAGACTGGCCTTGAATTCCTGGGCTTAAGTAATTCTCCTGCCTCCCAAGTACTGAAACTATAGGCATACACCACTGCATGCATTATTTTCATCTGATTTCTATCTCATTTTATAGATGAGGAGACAGACCTAAAGAGGGTAAATAGTGTGTCATCACACAGCTAGTAAATGGCAGAACAAGATTATGAATTTATTACCCATTCTGACTCTCTTGTACTTTCTTCTGTGTTGGGCTATATCCTGCCAGTAGAGAAGGCACCATCCTGCCAGGTAGATTCATGGGGGGACACCCATATTCTTTCAACTTTACAATGTGATTGACAGATGAAAGTAGACCCAAGTATATTCTCGTCATGGACCAGATCAGAATGGCACATAACAGAACATCTGCAAAACAGACAAAATAAAAACACTTGTTTTTACTGCTTTGCAGAATTGGAGTTTTGAAAGGAGCAAAAACAAATAGACTGTTTCATATAGATTTCAGGATTAAGGTCACATTCCCTGGCTTGGGACAAGCTCTTCTGCATCATGCCTGCCTTTTTATTGGTTGGGGATTAAGCTCAGGGGCATTTAACCACTGAGTCACATCCCCAGCCCTTTTTATTTTTTATTTGGCAGAGGGTCTTTCTGAGTTGCTGAGGCTGGCCTTAACTTGCAGTCTTCCTGCCTTAGCCTCCAAGTCCCTGGGATTATGGGCAAGCACCACCATGCCTGGCCTGCCTGCCTTTCTTTAGCCTCTTCTCCTGCCACTCTCCAAGTTATCATTCATTCAAATAATCTCTCAATTATCTCACATCTCTCTGCCTATGTCCACACCATTGCCTTTGCTTAGATATCATTCTTAATTTATGTGCCTATTGCTCCTGTGCCTCTTAATCTCAAAATAATCTTTCTGACTTACATGTCCCTTCTTTGTGCTCCTTGAATAACATTTCAAAATAAAAAGGGCTGGGAATGTAGCTCAGTTATATAGCACTGTCTAGCATGCATGAAGCCCTGGGTTCATTCCCCAGCAGAGAGGGGCAAAACATGAAATCTTAAAAACCTGCTAGTGGTTAATTAACAGAAATACTAATTCAAAACAGGGCACGGTGACACATACCTATAGTTGCAGCATTCAGGAGACTGAGGCAGGAAGATCATTTCATCTCACTTAAGGGACATCCTGAGGAACAGTGAGAAATCTGTCTCTTAAAAAAGAAAGAAAAGAAATGTTAGTTCAGGATTTTTTATAATTTTCAGGGAAGCTTTAGAAAAAAGTAGGATACTTCCTGGCTTTGACATAAGTATGGATCTGCAGGACAGCCCTGGATTTGTTAATTTGTTGGACCACTTAGCTGTCTGATACCAAAACAGTTCTCATTACATAGAAATTTATTATGGTCACTCTACCTTTTTTCCTTCAGATTACCGAGTTGAAGGCTGATTTTCAGTACCAGGAATCTCAGATGAGGGCAAAAATGAACCAAATGGAGAAAACGCACAAAGAAGTCACAGAACAATTGCAGGTGACTGCTTACTATGTGGTAACTAGAATACTTGGCTGAGTGTATTTTAATTCATTTTCTTAGATTTTTTTTTTAAGTATTGACATATTACATTAGTCTCCCTTTTGGATATCTTTTTGTTTTACTCTTGGATATGTTCTGATCTTTTCCCTCTCAGAAAATTTGTAAATGGTTCCTTGATTTTGGAATGTGCCAGATGTGATTCCAGGTGTCTGAATTATGGATTCTGTTTAACTTGCTCATTAAGGCACTGCATAGTTTGTATTACATGGAGCATTCTTTTGTAATAGTGGATGCCAAGAGATTAGCAAATACTTTTTTCCTTAAACCAAATCTCAAGCCCTAGAGTTTTCTATTATTTGTTTTTACCTCTAGAATGGTTCATCTCTTCCTGACCCTTTACATTATCTGCCTTCACATCTGCTTGGAAAACTTATCCCATTATTAATTATTATTGTCTATTAAACTTACTCTGCATGGAAAACATATTCTTTCCTGGGCAAACATCCTCTCACACTGATTTATTTGTTTATTTAATTTATAGGCCAAAAATCGAGAACTCCTAAAACAGGCAGCTGCCTTGTCCAAGAGCAAGAAGTCAGAAAAGTCAGGAGCTATGACCTCTCCATGACAGACTGCAGGAGGCTCTTCAGCAACAGCAGATGGGGTCATCCTGGGTTAGGGTTGGAGACCTGGCTGTTCTCTGGGAATTGCAAACTTTCTTAAGAATCTCTATTTTATTACTGTTGTCCTTCTTTGTGTGATTGCAGTGAGATGAATGGAAACATCTAGTTTGTGCTGTGTTATGACTGCATGCTTGAGTGTTTGGGATTTCAGGTTCAATCTCCTTCTCTTTCTCTCTCACTACTCCTTCTATGCTTTTCTTCCTCTTCTACCATCTCTTCCTCTTTTTTTCTCTCCCTTCCCTTTTCTTCCTTCTATCCCTTTCTTCCCTTTCCTCTTTCTCTATGTATTTTGGTTCTACTCTTTGTTCTTTTGTGGTGGTCACTGCTCAGTGTTATGTGCAGAATGATTTTTTTATGTCCATCCTTGCATCCTGCCATACCCATGAGCAAATAGTTTGGCATTAATTGTATATCACTGCCACCCTCTAACTTTAAAAACTGCCACCTTAAGACTTGGTACAATGAGAGAGGCTTTCTCTCTCCAATAAATCTTTTGCTTCAGGGTATACTCTTGGGTTTTTTTCCAGGTATATTATGTATGAACTTTGTACTATGTATAGCCAGAGTTTTATTTATTTTTTAAAAAAAGAAACTTTTTCTTGATAAAAGAATAATGGTAGCCTAGCTAGTTGTTCTTGTAAAAGCGATGCCTCTTGGGGGGAAAAAAAGTCCTATTCTCTAGCTTTTAGAAAATGCATCAGATCTTTTCTTTCTTGTTAACTTTAGAGTCTTAAAAACCGATTACTAAGGTGAAATAATTTCAATGTATACGTATGGAGTTAAGTGCCTTTTAGAGGATTTCTTGGAAGATCATTTAAGGAGATACTTAAGGGAGGTTGCAAAGATTTTGAACAGTCTGTCTTTTTAAGTAAGGGCAGAAAGAAAGGTTGTCCAGGTTGTACTGGACATTTCCCTCCCCCACTTCCTTTATTCTTAGGTAATTGATTTTAAATTCTCATACTGCCACTTCTTTTTTTTTTTTTTAAATACCCTTTACCTATATAAGTTGTTATACTGGGCTATTATTGTCAGAAAACATTTTTTTTTTTTTTAAAACAGGAGCAGATTCAAAATGGTTCAACTATAGGACACTCTGGGATCAGTACAAACTGCTCAAGTATGGACTATTAGTCCAAATGGGAGAAATAATATCATTGTACCTTCTTCCTATTTCTCTTCACCCACCCCAGCCTGTATACTCCCTGCTTTTAATGGAAAGGTATTGAATACATGTGCTTCTCAGAAGCAGTTTGGCGTCAGCCAGAGATATATGTGGCCTGTCTTCCCTTCTTATCCCAATAGACACATGGATTCACTTTTCCAGGAAAGGGATAGACATGTATTTCTAGCTGTACTCTCAGGTACTTTATGTGGTCTTTTTAAAGAAGTTGGGGATGTGTATAGTATGTGCTGTGAAGTAACAAAATCAACTACCATGGAATTATTAATGCAGGGGGGTACTAGAGTTAAAGGTAATGGTGAGGGCAGATGACATTTGTAGTCTCAGTCTACCAAAATTGTAGCAGTAAATTTAGCTTGTTAAAAGCAGATGTTCTATAACCTGTGATAACATTCTCACAAGTGGAGCCATGCACATAATTGGACAGAGATGTGGAAAGGGTGGCTTCCTTCTGCTAAGAGATACAGTGGACCATGTGGCTTAGATATCGCCCTGGTAGGGGATGTAATTTTCCCTTCTAAGCAAGGGGAACAGCAGTGCTAAATAGTTTTGTAACTTTTTGAATGAGAAGCTTTTAGGTAAACTGTAAGATAATATTTTTTAGATGCATTTGCATTGGCTATGGGGAAAAGATTGAGAAAAATGACAGTCATGTTTTTTTTTTTAATTTTAAAGACTGAGAAACTCTGTTATCTGAAGTATGATAATATAAAAACATTTAGTTTTATACTAAATCTTTTTTTAAGGTCTTGGCATTTAATATAAAGCAAACCCACACATTTTCTAACTTTCCATAAGTTATTAAAAGGGAAAGAAGAATCCTTAGTCTTGAAATTTTAATTTTTAAAAATCATGACACTGTTTTGCCATGAAATTGAGTAGCTAACTTTTGGTAACACCTTTTGTTTCTTTGTATGTTTGTAATAATGGACATTTTAAAACACAGGAATGTTTTGGTTTGTACAGACTTTGACAAATGTGTGTTAATAAAAATTCATATTGACTCAAGTATACAATTATTAGTTTTTGTTTCTCTTCCTCTCATCTTCTTCCCCTTTTTCTTCTCCTTCCTCCTTCTCCTCTTCTCCTCCTCCTCCTTCCCTTTTTCTTCCCTTTTCTCCTTTTTTCTTCTTTCTCCTCCTCTTCTTTTTTAAATCCTTGGCCCTTGAGTTTATTTTTTGCCAGTTCACCAGTAGACATATCCCATTATCCCCTTCAACCCTGAAAATAGAATGTCTTGCTTGTAGACTAATAGGGAATTTAATATCCATCAGAGGATAAAATCATTCTCTTCTATGATTTCATTTTTATAGCTTAAGTGCTTTTTCCTTGATTTTAACATTTATCATTATTATCCAAAATATAGCTCAGGATAAATTTTCATAAGGCACAAGTCAAAGCTTTTTGAGTTGCCATCTCAAAAGAATGTATCAGTTTGAAGCTCTAGTGTTAATATGTCTTTATATTAGAAGCACCTTTCAGGCATTGTCACTGTCACACTTTGGTTATCTCTACAAATGTATAATTTGTTTTCTCTAAATAGATTGAAAATCATTGTATGTGAAATAATTTAACCATTTACTCAGTCTTAAAAACTACTGAAGGTGGAGAATATGGCATAATAAACAAGATATCATCTAGTCCTTTGGAAAGGCCTTCAACCACTCTAAACCCTCAAGAGTAATTTTAGCAGGCTTTGACTTAATTCTCTTCAGTGTAAGATCATATGTTGGGCTGAGGATGTGGCTCAGGTAGAGTACTTACCTAGCATGCACAAAGCCCTGGATTTGACCTCCAGCACCATTTAAAAACAAAGACAACCATAAGTTACCTGTAGTCTATGCATTTTCATCTGATGGCCCGCTCAAGTGCCTTGGAGGAGAGACCATTGTTTGGAAGGCAAGAACTGTTAGGAGTCACAGACTGTGCTGGTTAATATCACGGCAGAACAAATTATCCCCAATAATGACTTCGAACAACAATCTTAACATGCCTACAAACCCTGTTTAGTCAAAAAAACTGGTCAGGGCACTGTGGGATCTTATCTATTCCACAAAATTGGGTTCTGAGCTTGGAAGATTAAGAAAATGAGGGACACAGGCAAGTGGTGCAGGCCTATAATTCCAGTGGCTGAGGCAGGAGGGTGGCAAGTTCAAAGACAGCATCAGCAACTTAACAAGCCCTAAGCAATTTAGTGAGACCCTGCCTCAAAAAAAAAAAAAAAAAAAAGGGCTGGGGATGTTGCTCAGTGGTTAAATGCCCCTATCTTCAATCCCTGGCACCAAAAACAAAAGCTGAGGGACACATGAACAGGGCTAGAATTTCCTCTGAAGGCTTGTTTACTTTTTGAAACTAAGTTTAGTGCTTCGGATGAGTGAAAGTCTAGTGCTGACTAGAGAGCACTTATGTGACCTCTCCATATAGTTTAGCCTTTCCCACCAAGGTAATCAGACCTCTTAGGTGTTGCCAAGAAGTACATGCCCAAGCACAAGGGTCCCAGTGAACAAAGTTGAAGCTGCATTACATCTGACCAATCCTCAAGGATCACAGAACCTCACTTCCACCATACTCTGTTGGTTGAAGCAGTGAGAAGACCACCTAGACTTAAGGAGAGGACACAAAGATCCTTTCTCTTGATGTCAGGGTAACAAAGTAGTAGTGGGATGGAAGCTATTGTTACCCTCTTATCAAAAACAATCTGCATCCCAGGGAGTAGCTTTTGGAACAAAATCAGATCCAAGAAAGCAAGACACAAGCTGTAATGTCTTTTATGTCCTATCTTCAGACATCACCTATCATTTCTGCAAAAATTTTATTGGTTTTAGAGGTAAAATTACTAATACTATTCAATGTGGGAAAGGATCACCTAGATGTGTTCATTCAAGGAGGCAAGAATCATTGATATGCATCTTTGTGGCTGGGCTGCCACATTGACCTTTGATTTTTTTTTTTTTTTTTGGTGGTGCTGGGGATTGAACCCAGGGCCTTGTGCATGCAAGGCAAGCACTCTACCAACTAAGCTACATCCAGCCTGAACACCTGGATTTTGAAGGCAGCAATGAAATTACCTTTTTGAGGAAAGTAATTCACGTTCCGTAGCAATTACTGGAATAGTGATTACTCTGCTCACAATGAATGGGAATCTCTCTGCAATGCAGTATTAACCATGCTTGAAAAGTGAGATTGCGTGTGCCCTGAAATCAGATTGCTCAGCATTGAAATCCTGTCCCCATTTACTCTTAGGGTTGTTTTAAGGATTAAATAACACATGCAGAGGCTTTTAGGATAATGCTTGGCACATAGTAGGCACTTGATTTTGTAAACTATTGTTATCCATGACTTCTATAGAAGCAACATTTTCTGTTTCTTGAGATGGGAGGTGATAGAGGAATAAATTAGAATGAACGTGTGTTCATTTGTTTTTTTGCTTTACAAGGTCATTTTATTCCAAGATTGTTTTTAGGCCACCAGAACATTCACACAACACAAGTTTTATGCCTCTTTTACAACTCCATATTACCCATCTATGCATGTCACTTTATTGTACTGATTCCTAGAGTGCTATTTTTTTTAAGTTTATTAATATAAACCGGCATACTGGGGTTGGGAATGTGGCTTAGTGGTAGAGCATTTGCATAATCATGCTGAGGCCCTGGGTTCAATCCAAGCACCGCAAAACCAAACCAAACCTGGGATATAAAATGTATCCATTTTAGGAACAGATAATTGAGTTTTTGATGATTGTATAATCATCAACACAATCAAAATATGGAACATTCTGCCATCCCCAATTGTTCCCTTGTGCCCCTTGGTAATCAATTTTCTTCTCACTCCAGTCCCTGGCAACTGTTAGTCTAATTTCTATTCCTATAGCTTTTCCTTTCCCAGGATGTCATATATATGGAATCATACCGTATGTAGCCTTTTGTGTATTACTTCATTCACTTAGTATATGCTTGTAGTTCATATTGTTGCATGCCTCAGTAATTTATTTCATGTTTTAATAGTTTCTTTTTATAGTTGAATAGTTTTCACCATGCAAATGTACCACAACTTGTTTATTCAGCAGCTGACGGACACTCAATCTGTTTCTAGTTTTGCATTATTATGAGTAAACCTACCTTCAACATTTGCATACAGGGTTTTTGGAGACACATGTTTTCATTCTTCCTGGGTAAATAACTAGGAGTGGGATTGCTGGGTTGTCTGGTAAATGTATATTGAGCTTAAAAAGAGGCTGTCAACCTGCTTTCCCAAGTGACTGGACCTTTTTGCATACTATAAGCATTGTACAATAAGTACTAATTTCTATGCAGTCTTATAAGCACACCAGTAAGCACACCAGTATAATCACTACCCTGAAAAAGAAATATTATCCTGGGCTGAGGCTGCAGCTCAGTGGTAGAGCACTTGCCTAGCACATGTGAAACACTGGGTTTGCTCCCTCGTACCACATAAATAAATGAACAAGATAAAGGTAGAAAAAGAAAACATTTTTTTAAAAAAAGTTTTTTTTAGTGGTCGATGGACCTTTATTTTATTTATTTATATGCGGTGCTGAGAATCAAACCCAGTGCCTCACATGTGCTAGGCAAGTGCTCCATCACTGAATCACAACCCCAGCCCTCAAAGAAAACAGTCTCAAAAAAAAGAAAAAAAGAGGGGCTGGGATTGTGGCTCAGTGGTAGAGTGCTCACCTAGCATGCATAAAGCACAGGGTTCAATCCTCAGAACCACATAAATGTAAAATAAAGATATTGTGTTCACCTAAAACTAAAAAATAAATATTAAAAAAAGATATATCCTATAGGTTCATTTTATGTACCCATTCCTAGTCGCTCTCTCTTCTTCCTCAAAACTGTATTTTTCTGACTTTTTCCTTGTGTTAGGGATTAAACTCAAGGATGCTTTACCACTAAGCTACATCCTCAGCCCTTCTTATTATTTATTTATCTTCTTTATTTTTTCCCAAGTTTTGAGACAGATTTTTGCTAAGCTTCAGAGGTTGGCCTTGAACTTGTGGTTCTCCTGCCTCTACTTCTGAAGTAGTTGGAATTACAGGTGTGTGCTACCAGGCCAGGCTGTATTATTCTGGTTTTTAAATAACAGCTCCATTTTTCCAGTTTTGAGATTAATAAAAAATGGAATGAGACAGATTATACTTTGCCTTCTTTAGCTAAATGTTGTTTGGGAAAGTTCACTCAGGTTGTTTACCTGCACTAGGGCATTTATTTTTATACTCAATAATACTACAATTTATTCATCCTACTGTTGATGGATATTCTAGTTGTTTCCAGCTTGGACTTAGTAAAAATAAATGTTTCTATGGACTCTTTCATAATAGCCACAAACTGAAAGCAATCCAAATGTCCATTATTAAAAGGATAGATAATTAAACTGTAGCACACTTACATGCTGAAATTTTTCTCATCAATAAAAAAACACCAAACTTGATACATTTAACATTATGTATAAATCTTAAGAACATTCTATTAATTGAAATAAGCCAAACACTACAAACTACAGAAGATTCAAAACCCAAGAATAGGCAAAACTAATTGGTAGTGATAGAAAATATCAGAAAGTAATATCTGGAGATGCGGATAATTGATTGGAAAGGAGCATCAATTGAAGACATTTTCTGGGTGGTGATGAAAATGTTCTCTATCTTAATTTGACTGGTACTTAACATGAGTGTACAGAGGTGTCAAAATTCATTGAACGAAACACTTCATATCTGCATTCTGTTGCATATCAGCTATAATTTAATAAAAATTAAGAATTGATAAATACTGCTTAGTCCTAAAGCTGCTGCTATAAACTATTCCTGGGTTTTGGAACATGTGTATGCAAATCTATTGAATATATAGTTTAGGACCACAGGGTACAGACGAATATGGATTCTGCCTCTTTTTTTTTTTTCCCCTCATACCAGGGATTGAACTCAGGGACACTCAATCACTGAATCATATCCCCAGCCCTATTTTATATTTTATTTAGAGACAGGGTCTCACTGAGTTGCTTAGCACCTAGCAGTTGCTGGGATCCTTTTGAACCTGTGATCCTTCTGTCTCAGACTCCCATGCCTCTGGGATTACAGGTGTGAGCCACCTTGCCTGCTGGACTCTGCCTCTTAACAGCTGTATGACATTGGACAAGTACCCATAATCTCTAGTTTCCTTATCTGTACCAAGGAGCTAATCTCACCTTGATGAGGGCAAACGTGGGAAGGCTATTTTTTAAAAAATATTTATTTAGTTGTAGATGAACACACATTATCTTTATTTTTATGTGGGGCTGAGGATTGAACCCAGTGCCTCACAAATGGGAGACTAGCACTTTACCACTGAGCTACAGCCTCAACCCTGGAAAGCTATTTTTGTTAATTGACAAAAGGACTTAGTGCTGAAGGATCTTATTCTCTAAAAGTTTAGATTTTCAGAAAAAATTGCTCTTTAATATATTGGTAAAAACGGAATACTGAGTCAGTGCAGTAGTGCACGCCTATAATAGAATTGGCTCCGGAGGCTGAGGCAGGAGGATTGCTCAAAGCCAGCCTTAGCAATTTAGCTAAGCCCTAAGCAACTCTGCAAGACCTTGTCTCAAAATAAAAAATAAAAAGGGGCTGGGGATGTGGCCTGGTGGTTCAGAGCCCCTGGTTTTAATCCTTGGTAAACATACACACACACACACACATATATACACACAAACAAAAACACCGAAAACCAAAGAAACAAACAAAACAGAATATTCTAGTCTTACTAGAAGAATCTGAGGTTACTTTGATGCAGAGAGGCAGCCTCAATTTTTTTTTTTTTTTTTTTTTGTTTGGTACGGGGGATCGAACCCAGTGGTGCTTAACCACTGAGATACATCCCTATCCCCATCCCCCCATTTTTTATTTTGAGACAGGTTCTCTTTAAATAGCTTAGAATCTCTCAGATTTGCTGAGACTTGTTTCAAACTTGTGATCCTTCTGCCTCAGCCTCCCAAGTCCCTGGGATTACAGGTCTACTGTGCCTGGTAGTAGACTCAATTTCTAACCCAGGTTCAGAACTTCAGATGAGAGGCTTTCAAATACAACGTTCCACATTTATCTTCATGTTTAGTTTCCAAGGAAACAGGATCCTGAGTTCTGTTGTTAGCTCAGGCCTGATGATAATCCTTTTACACATAGCCTGGTGTGTTTTGAGGCTGCCAAAACACTGCTTCTGGCCTTGGGATGTAGCTCAGTGGTATAGTGCTTGTCTAGAATGCCTAAGGCCCCAGGTTTGACCCCCATTATTGCAAAGACCGAAACCAACAAACAAAAAAATTCTTCTGCTTTAAAATTTTACCTCCAGTCCCTCTTTCCCCCAAATCCTAAAATAATTCTCCTTCTTCCTGTGTTTGGTGACATGCCCCCATGATTCCTCTAGTGTGCAGTTTATAGCAGTAAGTTAATAAACTTAACTTTGTCAGGCAACAGGTGGTCTTTATCAGATGAACTTTATCTTGGGAACTTCTGATAATGTATACAAAATATGTTCACACCATCTGGTACCTACTAGAAATGGTCAAATTATTCATATTATTAATGTATTTATTTAATAAATATTTTTTTGAAATCCACATTTGCAAAGCACAGATTTACTGCTATGAGAGATGTGAAATCACCTTTTTTTTTTTAATATGGAGAAAGAAAACAACAATTATATCTTCAATTCTTAGGAGAAAAATACCTTTACTGAACTTCACTTGTAGCTCAGTGGCATAGTGCTTGCTTAGCATGCATGAGGTCCTAAGTTCAATCACCAGCACACACATAAAAGAAGTGTCATATGTAAATTTAAAAAATCTCAAGATTATTTTACAGGGAAAAAAAGTACAATTTACATGATTTTCTATAGGATTTGAAAAAACAAAACAAAACAAAAAACCCCCAAAACTATGGACTCTATAGAATTAGTAGGGTTTTAACAACAGAACAAGAGCCCCAAATGTCATCTATCTCTCTCTGTGGAGGAAAAAAAATGCACTCCAAGGAAAAAAAGCTGTAAGGCTGAACACGGGCTCATTCACACATTTTGGGCCCCTCCCACACAAGCAAGCTGCTTCCTCCATGCATTTTTCAGAGATTACAAAGCAGGCTCCAGTGCGGTTGGGTGGAGAACACAGGAAATCGCCAGTTCCCCTTCACTTCTCATCATCTGGATACTCCCAAAGCAAAATCCTATCCGTGTTTTTCCTTTTACCATACGCTCACAAAATGCAGTCTTCTATGGAAACATTGTGCTTTTATACTCAAATTAAGGGAATTATTTTTAAATTTTAGGAGTCCAATTCTTCTAGAAATCCTTGCTTTGGATACAGATGAACAGGCTATTTGCAAGAAATTTAGATAAAGAATGGATTTGGAAATAAGGGAATGAGTTTTAGGGAAGTAATGAGATGACAAGTCAGTTTAATGTTTGGGTTTTAGAGTCAAACTTCAATAAGGCGATTAACCTCTGTGTTTTAATTTTTTCACCTGTAAAAGAAAATAATGTTTAGTTTTTGGAGTTACTTTACGGCAACATTTTAAAAACCAACTGTCCATTATCTATTTTAAAGATAAATACAGAACATTGTCCAGAACACTGTCCCTTGCTATGAAAATGCTTATCAACAAGTGAATCGCAGTGAGTTTTCACACACAGTACGTGCTCAACAAATATAATTATTATTTTATTGTTTAGATTAGAAGAGGGAAGGACAGGAGAAATGAAAGTGGTTTGAGAGCCATAAAAGTGCTCTGCAAATACTACCAAAGTCGTAAAGGATGAAAGAAAAATGAGGAAAATTTCGGGTTACGGTTTGGTTACGGATCTGTCTCAAAGTTGTTTAATTCTCCCATATTTGGGCCTGAATTCTCAGAATAGAACAGAATAGGATGTAAGGGCTGAGATCATCTGGTACAATTTTATGCCTCCTGTCACTACGCCCAGGCGAGAAATAACACCGCCACACAAGCTCCTCCAATCGAAGCCTCGACTATCTGATGTCATCGTTCCGCCCCACATCGCCACGCCTAGAGCACTCTAGCATCTATGCCACCTTCTAGCGCTGGTTCCAGCAGCGCTTGCGCACTGCGAAGAGGGGCGGAGCGGACGCGTGCGCGCTGCGTGTGGGCGGGGCTAGTGCGCACGCAGCCTCAGCCCCTTCCCCGCCCTTTCTCTTCCCTGTTTCTCTCTCAGACTGCGGGTACCTTCTGGTGGCTGCTTCCGGTAGGAACGCGGTGCAAGGCGAGCTGGTTTCAGTTCCTCGTCATGTCCTACGGTCCCTTAGACATGTACCGAAACCCGGGGCCCTCGGGGCCCCAGCTCCGGGACTTCAACAGCATCATCCAGACATGCAGCGGCAACATCCAGCGGATCAGCCAAGCCAGTGAGCCAGGGACCCAGCTGGGGGCGGAGGGCGTCCTGGGGACAGGCCTGGGTGAGGTTGCCGCGACGCGTAGCCCGGCTGGGGCCACGACTAAGGCCACATCTGAGATGGTCTCGAGCTTCCCCTCTGGGGGCGGCGGACAGTCATCCCGGCGTCTATCTGGCCCGGGTCCCCCGAGGATCCCTAGCCCAAGATGAAGCTCTATAGTTTCTTTTCAGGAGTTCTATCCTCTCAGTGTTGGAATCAACACAACAGACCTAACAGCCTGAGGTTGGGAAGTGGGGTGTGTGTCACCGCGAGGGCAATGAGTGCCTTGACTTGGCGCAGTGGTCAGCCAAGTTTTTCCTGTCATCCCCTCCCCCCGCCCACCTCGCTTTCCTCTTTGGCCTGTTTTAATCAGGGATTGTTTACTGATTGAAGCTTTAGGATGAGCCACTGGCTCCTCGGAAATCAGCAACTTTCAATTAAGGGAAGTGGAGAGTGCATGTGTTTGAGTGACAATATACAGTCTTTCCTGTAAGGAATTTGGAAGTCAGTCACAATGACTGGTAGTTGGGTGGTGGGTGACTTCTTTTTAATAAAGAGAATTCACTGGAAACATTTCTTTCAATTTATTTATTTTGTTTTTTGTCATAAAGAATTTGTGTATTTGGGTTTCAAACAGATGAAAAGAGTAACCCTGCAGATCTACTCTTTTGAATAAATTTGATACACACAGAAGCTCAGGGACTTAGCCACAACCACACAGCAAGTAAGAAATGGTTTGGTTGTTGATGGAATTAAGAATGTCATCGCTTATTTAAAAATACTCTCCTCACCATTAAGATCTTGAGTGAGACTGTAGCCTAAGAGTCATATATAGGCTGTTTCTTGTGTTTGAAAATTATCTCAGAGCTTTAAAAAGAGGAGGTCTGCCACAGAAACTTTACTTGGAAAGATTGATGATCATCAACCTTGTTTATTATTGTGCTTTTTGATCTTGGCTGTACTCTGTTAATAGAACTAGTTGGACCTCAATTACAATTATTTTCTATATTTTAAAGAATGATCTACGACTTTGATTTTAGATTTACATGTATGTTGTAGAATTTGAGAGGTGGAAAGTTTCTAATGGGAAGGGATTGAACTGGATGATTTGGAAATGGAAAGAATGTGTGGCCTGTTAAGTCCAGAAACTTAAAAATGACTGCTGGTTAGAAGGTATAGTACTTTGTGTTCCAATTTCTTTTTGTGAAGGAAGCTCAGAAAATTCTGGTTTAAGGCTGAAATTTTTTTGTTGGACTAAATCTTTTTTTTAATGTCTATTTGTGTAATATTCTGTAGTTTTTGAGTATCAAGCTATGGGAATCTGTTGAGAACATTAACAATCAAAATAAGGATGCTATAGAAAGGTTTTAAATAACAATAACATGTAGGTATTCAGGGGAGAGAGAGAGAGAGAGACCCTTTGAACCAGGTCTGGGACAATGGTAGAAAGAATTTAAACCTTTGAAGGTAAAGAGAAGAATAATATTTCAGGAATCAATAACATGAACAGACATGGCAGTAGGAAAGCATAAGGTATATATACAAAAGCAGAGTAATTTGGCTAGAGTGATGAACTCCAGAAAGAAGTGGAAAGTAGATTGGAAAGGTAAGTTGGGACACAAACAAAAAGGACATTAGGGACTTGGATATAATTCTTTAGGAATGTGTAAACTGAATTGGAAGTGAGAGAGACTGAAATCAGGGATATCAATTAGGGACAATGAAAATGAAAAGGAAGGAAAAGATAGGAGAGGTTTCCTTGGTTATAAAATGGGTAAGATTTAGCTTTGATTTGGCTATGGGCTCAGGGGATTATTGATCAACCATTGATAATATTAAATAGCTTTTAAGTACGTTCTATTTGCTAGGCAATATGAAAGGTGCTTTTGGGGTAGTATCTTACTTAATTTTATAACAATTCTGTGAAACAGTTACCAACATTATTTCGGTATTATGGATTAGGAAACAAATTGAGAGGGTTAAATAATTTCACAACTAACAATTCAGATTTAGTTGAAATTCAAATTAAGACATTACCTTAATTTGAAACCAAGTCAGTCTCCGGTGACTAGCAGTTTACCTTTTTTTTGTTGTTGTTGTTATTGGGAGTTGAATCAAATCAAGGTTTTTTTTTTTTTTTTTTTTAACCACTGAGCTACTTCCCCATACTTAATTTTTTAAATTGACGCAAGGTTTCCTCAGGGCTTCCCTAAGTTGCTGAGCCTGGCCTGGAACTTGTGATCCTCCTGCCTCAGCCTCCTGAGATGCTGGGATCACAGGCATGAGCCCCGCTAACAATATACCTTTTTATAATTTCTAAAGAGTATTACAGTTCTATAGCAGTTATCACTTTAAGTATACAAGTGACTTGCTTTTCAGTTCTCCAGAGGACACTCTGCAGGGGAATACTTGAAGTTGGGGTGCTGTATTTTCTTGTGATATGCCCCTCTCCTCTGCTAGATTGTTCTCTCTTTTGAATCAGGGACATGACCTATTCAACTTTATATTTCTAGTACTTATTACATTCCCAGTATATGATATTCACTCATTCAATATACAACATATAATATATTTTAACTATATTTAGTATTTTATATATATATATATCTCTTCCACTGAGCTACATCTTCAGACAGGGTCTCACTAAGTTGCTCAGGCTGGCCTAAAATTTGTGACCCTCTTCCTTAAGTCTCCTGAGTAGTGGAAGCAACAGATCTTCTCTAAACCCCTGCTATATTTTGGGGATAGAGCAATGAACAAGTGATAAATTCACTGCCCTGATATCATGTGTGTAGATATATGTACACACACACATATATACTCTTACACATATAAATCGTATCAAGTAATAGTAAGTGCTATGAAGAAAAATAAAGCAGGGTAGAATAGAGAATGAAGGGAGAGGAAGGATGGGTATGCTATTTTAGGTAAGTTGGTCAAGGAAGGCCTCTCTCAGGAGATGGTACATTAGTTAGTAGATATCCCAATGAAATGAGGAAAGGAGCTTTGTGAGTAGTAGGGAAAGGCGTTCCAGGTGGACGACAAGGGTAAAGGCTTCGGTATGTTCAAAGAACAGCAAGGAAGCTAGTATGGCTGGACTACAGATAGAGAAGAGAGTGAAATAGGAAATCGGCCAGAGAGGTAGCCAGGGATCATATCATAGGGTCTTGAAGCTTAAAACTTATATTCAATTGATTTGAATTAATGAGGTTTTTCTACTATTTCTGAACTCTTCCTGCCTCTTTTCCCTTGTACTGTGTGTTACCTATCAAATCCCAAGTACCCTAGGCAGTTTGAGTTGAAATTCTTCCCTTGGGATTATTTGGTGAGGGACTGGGAATTTAAATTGGTTGGATGACATTGGGTATGCCCAGAAAGGCTGGTGCCTATCTTCCAAACCTCCCAGACATGGCCAGCATAATTCATGAAAAATGTAAGTATGCAGACACATACCCATCAGCCCTGCAAGGACCCGTACCCATTGAAAATGTGAGAGAATAGCTGTTTTTTCCAAACTGTTCAACCACTTGTGTGAGTTTGGAATTGTTGAGCGCATCGTCCTGACATAGGGCAGCCTACCGCGTGGGTTGTTACAGGTACAGCTAAGGTTGGCTGCCTGGTACAAACAGTTGTTATCAGTATGTGTGGGGTACAGAGGAAGAATACTTGACTGCTAATTGTGGAATGAAGGGCAGGTGTTGCTAAGGCAGATATGAGGGGGGAAAAACCCCCAGTAGCCTCAAAGTTAAATCTGAAATCAGACAGCATTTCTAATTTATTGTTCTATTTTGTTTACTGATAAATAGTTGAACTTTTAAATGTTCATGAAATTCTGTAGGTTCTTTCAAAGTTATTTTTATATGATTTCTCCCTTTTTATTTCATGGCCTTCTTAAGTCTTCATATTGTCAACATTTGTACTCCAGAAGCATATTTGGTGTGTCTGATTGTAGTCTCAGCCCGTTCTGATTCATTCTGATGATGCTATTTTCAGTATGTCTAAAATCTTCTCTTCATGGTACTTCCTCACTTCCTAAAGAACCTTGGTGGATCTCTGTTATCTACTTCTTAGATCTTGACATTCATCTTGTTTTCATTCTCTGTGGTCTCAACCCAAATCAGCCATATTTTCTACTCCTCTTCACTCTATGCTACAAGCAGTCTATTTTTCTTAACATCCTGAATTTTTAAAAAAATATATTTTTAGTTGTAGTTGGTCACAATGTCTTTATTTTATTCATTTATTTATTTTATGCAGTGCTGAGGATTGAACCCAGCTCCAAGCTTGCGCTAGGCGAGCACTCTACTCTGAGCCACAGCCCCTTAATTTTTTTCTCCCAGTTTTTGCTCATTTCATTCCTCCTTTCTTTAATATCTTTGTTCTCCCTGTGTTGCTGACCATTTAATGATATAAATCCTTTGAGTTGTACTTAAATCCTGCTCCTTATAACTAAGCCTTCCTTTGCTTTTCAAAGATAAAGTGAGGTCAGAAAGATCATTGGCATATCTGTAAATGAGCCCCTCTTTCTTTATACTGTTAATTTTTTTTTTAAAGAGAGGGAGAGAGAGAGAGAATTTTTTTAATATTTACTTTTTAGTATTTGGCGGACACAACATCTTTGTTTGTATGTGGTGCTGAGGATCAAACCCGGGCCACACGAATGCCAGGCAAGCATGCTACCGCTTGAGCCACATCCCCAGCCCCTGTTAATTTTTTTAAAGTATTTATTTTTTAGTTGTAGTTGGACACAATGCCTTTATTTTATTTACTTATTTTTATGTGGTGCTGAGGATTGAACCCAGAGCCTCCCCCATGCCAGGCGAGTGCTCTACCGTTGAGCTATAACCCCAGCCCTATACTATTTTTTTTTGAGTCCCCCCTCCCCACTATAGTAGTTAGCCCAGGGTCATACTGCCTTGGACTTGAGTTGCTCATATGCTTCTTACTAGCTGTATAAACACGTTGAATCACTT